AAGTTTTTATTTTGTATGTGTTGTTTGTGCAACAAACAGAATGGACTTACAAGGATAACAAACCCACTTAAAATACTTTTAACCAAATCTTTGGAACCAAGCAGTGTTCAGGGAGATGGATATTTTTCTGAGCCACTTTTAATGAGAAATGCTGAGTTTAAAATGCAAGAAGCAATGTGATTATTCATATATGTGCTTTTTTACATGCTTTTTCTGTCTTTAGAAATATTGTACCAGACAAAACTTTCAGAAAAACAAACCTTGTACAAATGTCTACAAAATATAAAAGAACATTAATGGAAAAGTTATTTTTGGTGAAACATTTGCATTTCATTATTTAACTAGCATTTTCATGTATAGCATAGAATACATTTTGTACACTGCCACTCAGGAATCCTGGTGGTAATATCACATGAGATGGTTTTGTACATTCATAAATGCCTATTTATAAGCACATTTGCTTGAACAAAATCTTGGCTCAGGTTCATTTTCTTTCATTCTGTTTTCCTTGGTTGCTGGTAACTTCCATTAGAACTCAGGTCCACTGCTCTTCAAGGAATATTCCTAAAGTTTTATGTAGTCTCTGCATGAGAAATGACTGGTTGCTCACCAGTGTCTTAGTTTCTGGAAAAGATCTAATTAGGATTGTTACACTGTAGTCTCCAACAGGTGAAACTTTCCTTTAGTTTTCACATATAAAAATATAAAAATAATGTGCTAGCATTTCTGCTTCTAGCCATAATGAAGTAACTGATACCAGACTCACCCATGCACTATATAAACAGCTAGAAACTGCCTAAAAGCAAAGGAAACACCGGTGATTAGACTGTGGACCTCACGCTATGCGAGACTGCACTGACAGCAGGAAAAGGCACGAAGCCGGCCCCCTACTTCCCAGTTCTCTGCTTGGAGGCAATTTTAGGACCGTGGCGCAGAGATTAGGGTCTGAGCAAGGATGTCCATCCTGCTAGGTTGAGGAGTCAGAGATACCAAGTTCAGGGACAATAAAAGAGCTGGAGATTTCCACAGACTGACACTAGTGGAAAAAATAGCTCTAAGGCTGCTCAAGCTCAAGAGGGTCACCAGTAATTGAAGTAAATGCTGAAGTAGAAATCACAAGTCTTCAGAGGAAGATTATAGAATTCAGAGTCTCCTCAGCAGACCATCCGCAGTGTCTGGTACTTGAGAAACAATCACTAGACATGCAGAGAAACAGGAAATGTAACCTGAGGCCACAGAAAAAGGACTCCATAGAAAAGGAACAATAGATGGCCTCTGCTGTGCTCTCAGGAGCCACTAAGCGTGTGTGGCTTCAAGCACAAAAATTGTGGCTGGTCTCAACTGTAGTTGCTGTAAGCATGAAACACACACAGGTTTTGATGAGTTGATAAAATGACTGGAAAATATTTCATTAACTTTGATATGTATTACATGCTCAAGCAATATTTTGGATATTTTGAGTTAAATAAAAATACATTATTAAAATTCTACATATTCATATACTTTTTAAGGTGGCTACTAGAAGGCTTAAAATTATGTGTAAGGCTCCCATTATCTTTCTGTTGGAAAGCACTGGTGTAGGTGTTTGATATAGAGGAAGATGGCGTTTTCACATCTGTGATTGTAAGGATTTATTCAGGAAATCCAATGAGAATATGTCAAGGAAATAAAGGAAAATATCATCTTAATACTTGAGCTGAACAGAGAAAGGGAAAAATACTTTAAACTAATGGACATTCCAGAACTGAAATGAAATTTCACTGGATCGGTTTAACATCAGATTCGAGAAGGCAGATGGAGTCTGTGAACTTGAAGAGAGACCGAGAGATACTTTACATATAGGAGAAAAATCACACAAAGAATGACTTATATGAAGATATGGTAGAGGCCAGAAAACAATGGAAGGAGACCTTTAAAGCCCTAAAAGGAAATGAATAAAGCTGTCAACTCATAGCCAGTGAAAATATTTTTCATAAGCAAGGATAGTAAAAGAAACAAAGACAATGAGACACATGGAAGCAGAGAGAATGTGGTGCCAGCAGACTTGCACTGCAAACATGCTGACAGATGGCACTTAGGCTGATGGGAATTGATGCCAGATGAAAACTTAAATCTGTACAAAGGAAAGAATACTTAAAACAGTAAATAACTGGGAAAACATAAAATAGTTTTAATTTACTTTAAAACAATAAGTGCACAAAAGACAGGGACAGGTGAATGGAATTAGACTGTTGTGTGGTTATTACATTTGTGAAGTAGGAAGCAGTTTGTATTGTCGCATTTGAAGAGCAAACAGTTTTAATATTGACCCAATATAGACCCCTTAAGGATGCATACTGTTA